TCTGCTGCCCAGCCATGTTGGCTGGAGCTGTGACCCCACCTGGCAGGACCAGGGCCTCTGGTGTCTCTGGTGACTAATAGCCCTTTGCTCTGCCTCTCTCCCCGTGTCTCCCTGCCCCTTTAGGATTGCTGCGGGAACTGCAGTGACAGTGAGGAAGAGCTCCCCACCCGCCTTGAGTTCCCCACCCACCTCTAGCTCCCAGCCTGAGGCCCCCATCAGCAGTTGGCGGTAGCAGCTACTCTGAGTGCTGTTTACAGTTTTGCACAGTGGTCTTCCCCATTGTCTGCTCGAGTTGTGGCTGGGGGAACACAGCCTGAGCTGTCCCCCAGTGCCCTCTACCTGCCCCTCAGCTCCTGGCCCAGCTGAGTCTGGAGAGGCTGAGTTGTCCTGGGACAAAGGTGCGTCCCTTCAGCTCTTCTCTGGGGAGCTCGGGGCTTTCTGTATTTATGTATTTGTACGAATGTATATAGCAACCAGAGCGTTCTTAAGAACCAACCTGGGCCTGGCGCCCCAGCCTCAGTTCCCCGGTGCAGCCAGCCCTGGCTTGGAGAGCCGAGGGTTGGCGGAGGGAGCCACTGCCAAACTCAAGGCTCCTCATGCCCAGTTCAAGCTGGGCCAGATGGAGGCTGGGCCGAGTCAGGCCCCTATGCCCCCAGCACTGTGCTTGCCACCGAAGGCCTCCAAGTGAGAATTGTGCCTGCCACTGCTGCCCTGGGCACAGCCACCCCAATTGGGGGCCCACTGCTGTCCCTTCTCCAAGCTTATCAGAGCTGGATCCAGGGCTCTACTCTGCTTGGCCTTTGCCAAAGTGTGGCTAGAGATTGGGCTGACCCTGGGACCCTCAGCCACTGCCCAGGCTGTCCCTGATGGGTCTGCCTCTGTCTTCCGGCTCCCAGGGTACATCCTCCCTCCCTTATGCTGGGCCCTGCCCTGAAGATACTTCTTTCAGAAACGCCCCAGCCCAGGCCAACCCTCAAACATTCCGCCTCCCCTCGTAACAATAGACACATGCCCAGCAATAATCCGCCCTTCCTGTGTGTGCCTGTGGAGTGTATGTGTGTATGCGTGTGTGTGTGTCTGTGTGTCCATGTATGTGAGTGAGAAGAGGGTAGGGTGAGGCTGTCTGCCTGCTCCCCAGGCCCCAGCCCAGGCCCGTCCCGGACTGTGATGGCCATCCTAGTCCCAGTACTAGGGTCACATGAGATTACAGGGCCCTGGTTTTTCCATATTTAAAGCCAATTTTTATTACTCATTTTGTCCAATGTAAGCTGCCACGTGTCTCTGTGAATACAGTCCGAGCACAAACCTGGCCCATGGCCCTGCTTGCCTCTTTCTTGCTCGGATGCTCCGATAGTGTTCCTGCTTGCCTGGCTCTGCTGGAAGTGGGCCTGGTAGAGTTACCATTCCAGAAAGACCCAGGACTCCCAGACTTGATCTTAGGGTGGGCTTTCCAGCACCTAGGCCACAGTGGACATCATCAGTGGGACAAGGCCTGTGGGAAGAAGCCTTAGGTACCCACTGAGATGTGGATCTGTTGCTGCCTAGGCTATCAAGGCGGGCCCAGCTGGTAGCTTCTCTCAAGATCAAGGTGGCCTAGCTACTTCCATTGTGGACCTGGAGTGGTCTAGGGCTATTTCTACCTATCCAACCACCACTTGTGTGTAGTTTGCCGTCCTGTGGTAACTTGTGTGTTGCTGTGATTCTGTAATCTATGCCACCAGTATTTTAAATACCAGCAGGGGCACCCATGGTGGATAGGTTTCAGATGAGCTTCCAGACTAAGACAAACTATACTTCTGAATATTTAGTCACTGAAAGCCTTATGAATAGCAGTGAAATGCTGTCAGATAGCACTAGAATATTGAATATTGAAACATGATGAAGAGCACAAGAATATTGTATGGACTGACACAGTGGCAGCAACAAAGGACTCGAGCAATGATTGTGAGGTTGGCACAGGACTGGACAGTGGTTCATTCTGTTGTACATAAGGTCTCTATGAGTTGGTACTGATTCAACGACACTTAACAACAAAGTCTGTCTCTCTAGCAACCAGGTCTATCTTACATTAGATCCATCCCTCTGTTTTGCCCTGAAAGCATGAAATATGGGTGGGCAAAGACATAAGACACTGGTGGCATTGGGAAGAAAGCTGTGGCAGGGGTGGGTGGGGACTAGTGATCTGAGTGTCAGGGAGACTTCTCTGAAGATAGCAGTTGAATCAGGCCTTGAAGGAAACATTTGCCTGGGGACCAGAGGGAGATTGGGGAGAACATTCTAGGCAAGGGAACCACCTGTGCAAAGAGTTGCAGGTGAGAGTTTGTCTTCCTGAAGTCTGTCCCAGACCTCACAGAGCCATCACTGCTCTGTAGCCTCCTAGTGTCACCAGCTCCACCATAGGGCTGCTTCCTTGTCCTTGGACTGGGCATCCAGTGCCACAGAAGTCACCTTACTTTGCAGTTAGATGATTCTGGGTTCAGAGTCCCTTTTTAAGTGAGGCTTTGCATGAGCCCCTTCCCTTCCTTTGTCTTGTTAAGTGCTGTTGAGTTGATTCCGACCCATAGTGACCCTATGTAGGGTTTCCAAGGAAAAGCTGATGAGCTTGAACCGCCAACCTTGTAGTTCAAATGGCTTTGCAGTCTGATGCATTAACCCACAGAGCCACACCAGGACTCCTTCCCTTGTCTAGAAAAGGGTATAATAGCTGCTTCCTCATGCAGTGGCTATGAGGATCTACTGAAGCTACTGGGCACCAAGATAACCTGCTATCTCAAGGACAGCCAGAAGGTCCCAAACCTGAACTTGTGCCTGCCCAATCCTTGAAGTGGTTACTGTTCTTCCATCAACAGAGGGAAATGGTAGAAGAGGGCTTGGCCCAAGGTTTTCCATCTAGTGAGTGGTCTATGCAGGGTGGAAAAGCTAGATCCTGCCCATGGGTGTGAGGTTGGAGCCTAAGGTGTATTGATTTGCCTCTGTCATCGGCTTTACTTTGGGAGATGATGGTTAGGTAGGTAGCAGTGTGCAGAGGACAGTGCCCATCCCTAGTCTGATGTGTGAATGTGAGTGGGTGTCAGGTGGATATCGGGTTCCCTGAGGCACTCTACCAACAGGTTTGTCCCAGACCTTACCAAGCTCCCCTTGGGCAAGAGAAGCTTGCAGGGAACTTGGCTAGGATTCAGTTTACCACAGATCTCTTGGTACAGTGGATCTTTGATATAGGAAACTCCCAGAAGACATCTCTCAGTGAGCCTTGCCTAAGCTCATCTTACGTACCTAACTGGTGAGAGCTGGAGAACCAGATAGATGAAGCCCTCCCACTTTGGAGTTCATTTTGGTAAGGAAGCAGACATGGGAACAGTGGGGTCCAGTGTGATCACACTGGCAGAGATGATCCTAGGACTGGCAGAACCTGGACTGCCATGGGTGTCAAGGTTTTGATATTCTCCAGGTCACAGAAGCAAACGTGCCTAGAAAGAAGAGACAGAGGGTTGAAGCCCTTTAATGGTTTAGAGTAGCTGAACGTGAGTTGGGGTAGAACAGAGAAGGGAGCAGCTAGAGCTGGAACAGCGAGGTCTGGCCACTTAGAACTTTGAAAGTTATGTCAAAAGACAGGGGACCTCATCTGGAAGGCAGGAAAGACTTGAAGGGTTTGAACTGGTTGTGTCAGGGTATCTGCTTAGTATCTACAAAATCCCATTTCCTTTGGGAACCCTCCACACTCAGTCCATTTGGTTTAGATGGGGGCTAGGCCTGTGCCTCACAAATATAAACCACACACAGCTGGGTAGAGTGTGATTCAGGTTGGACCATCAGGGACTTTGGTTGCAAGTAACAGAACTGCCCTCTAACAAACTTGGAAATAACAGAAGGATATGGGCAGGCCTCACAGGCTGATTCCATCTTCACCACATCACAACCACAAGAAGCCAGATGCTACTGAGCCCCAATCTAAATCTAGAGTCCAAATGGCTAGGCTGGAAACATGCCCACTGTGGACTGTGAGGAGCAGACATGGGTTCACAGGCCCACCAAGATGGATGGCATCCATGGGGTGCAGGGAGTCCCCTGATGAAATCCTGGTGCTAGCACCTGAGGAAAGGAGGATCTTGGATGGCTGAACACATATTCCCTCCCCAAGACATGGCTGCCTGGATTGGTTCACTGATGGGACACTCAAGTCAAAAAAAGTGGAGTGTGTGTTTTACTAAAGCTATTGGGAAAGAATTGGGGTTCGCTTTGCTCTGGGCATCAATGGGAGAATATAAGGCTGGAGGTTTGGAGTCATTCTGGCCACCACTTGGAGAGAACATTCCTGAGAAGGATGCAAACACACACAAAGCAGAGTAAGGAAGAAATAGATGCATGCTTGAACACCTTGGAGCTAGGACCAAAGCTAAACTCTACCCCTGAACTTTCCAGTTCCATAAGCCAATCATTCCCCTTTGGGCTCAAGCCTATTTGATTTGGGATTCTGTCATTTGCATCTCAGTATGTCCCAGCTGATATGGTAGTGAAGGGACATTGTAGGAGGGACCAGGAGGAAAACCATGTGTTCTTCTATTGGGGCCACATTGGGCACCTGTCTGCCCATGGAATGCACAGCACCTTACAAGATGTGACCCAGACCTCGGACGCGTGTGCTTTCCAGGTCAAGCTGTGTGTGTCAGGGTTTTCTTCCCCAGTTGCTTGGCTGTGCATGTGGTGTGCACAACCGATTGTGTGCACCACGTCTACCCACGAGTGCCTGGCTGCATAGTCTGTTGCCAGGAGCTACGTGGCGTGTGCATCACCCGTGAGGGGTGCCCTCGGTGGCGAGATCCCCGCTCCCAATGTGTGTCGTGTCTCGACACGGCAGGTGGGTACAATGGTCCTCCCCCTCCCAGGCAGTCTTCTTGGTGGTAGGGTGGGGGGCCCTCTGTCGGCTGCCTTGCGCTCGCGCGCGCGCACGTTGGGTTCAGTACGCACAGTGTACGCGCCCGTGCGCGCGCACCGCGGCTCCAGCCCAGTGCTCAGAGCCGCTTTCGCTGCCACCTTCTGATACCCGGGGCCGCCACCACGTCCCCGAGGCTGGGGGCTTTACCCGCTGGTCCGGAGACGCTCGCCTTGAGCCCGGAGGAGGAGTTCGAGCAGGATGCCTGGGCCCGTGAGTAGCGCGGCGGTGGCTTCAGGGTCGGACGGGCGCGGAGCGCGAGTGGAAGACGGTCCTGGGACTGAGCCCCTCCCTGCGGGTGGCTCTGCACCTTGCTCCTGGGTTGTCTTCCCAGACCCCCGCCCCGGCATCGGCATCGGGGCAGACCCTCCCCCAGGCCATACTGGAGGGAGGGAGGGAGAGTGCCAGTGAGCTAGGGAGCCGGAATGGGGCGAGAGCCGCCACGGGTTCGCTTGGAAACGGTTGCCACAGCAACGGGGTTGCGCTCCCCGGCAACGCGGCTGCGGGGCGGCGACGCCCCCTCTTGCCCCTCCCCCACTCCACGCGGGGCCGCAGCTGGGGGGTGCAGGGAAAGAGGGAGAGCCGGGAACCTTTGGCCCCGGGTGGACAACCTTCGCCCTTTGAATCTGTATGGTTGTGCCTGCCTGAACAGCTCGTCGTGGGGCTGGGGGGGTGGGGTACAGAGGGGAGAAACGAGCGGCCCCCGTGGGCACGAGCTGACTCCCACGTGGCTGCAGTCTTCGCAGCAGGGCTCATGGGGTGGCTGCAAACGTGGGGGTGGCCCAGACCCTGGACCTCCCGCGGGTGGGGGTGGGGGTAAACGGGAGGCAGCGCAGAGATACTGGGTCCGGGGCTCTGCTACATAACCACCACCACTGCCACCGCACAGGGACTCCTCCCGCCAGCAAAAACGGCCTGTCCTGAGTTAGTCCCTCCAAGGCCGACGCTCCCTACCAAAGACAAGGCAAGAAGCTTGCAGCCCTCCTCCTCTTAGCCAGGGTATATGCCAAACCAAGGCATGGGCTGGCGTGGGACTCTGCTGAAGCAGTCCAAGACACCATTCCCCCGGGAGGGGTGGGAGCGGCGTGGGCCGGAGCCAAGGAAAGGACATTGCTGACCTAGGGAAGCCAAGTCCAGGCCAAATGGGAGCAAGCCGGGCCCATTGTCTGACTCACAAGCACTCCTTTCTTGTTTGAGCACAATGCCTGACTGAGCTGGTGTGACATGCAGGTTGACCAGCAGGGATGTCAGCCCCACATGGAGGTGCCGGTCCTCCAGGGGAGCTCCTTGGGAGGAGAACGGCCGCTGAGTCAGAGGAAATGACCTCTGGCTCCCCTCCCAACCTGCCATCCGCAGGCAGCATGCTGGGGAGAGAAATGGCCCTCCTGCCAGCTCTTCAGGGCCTGACTCAGCAGATGCCAGCTGCCTACAGGCCAGGGACCCACCATCCCAGCGGCCACAACCACCACTGGGTTTCCCTTCTCATCAAGGGAGGTATTCTGGGCCCCAGTGGTGACCAGTGTCTAGGGCATTTGAGGCCTTGGCATGAAATGCCCTTAGATGGGTGGTGCGCTAAGAAGTGGAGCCTGAGTCTTCCACAGGCAGGAGTGCATTTGGGATTATTCACAGGCTTCTTTCATCCTGCTTTGGGTGAGACCTGTGTTGAGTGCTTTGTATCCATAACCTCTTAACTGTCCAAACAATTCTATGAGGTAAGTTATCTCCATTTCAAAGGTGAAGACTCTGAGGCTCAGGCAAGAGAAGTGATATGCCCAAGGTCACACAATCAAGTAAGTTATAGAACTAGGTTTCCCAAAGTCTGGGTTTCTCTGCTTGCAAAGCCCCTCTCTGCCTGTCAGACAACATCTCTTTGTTACCCAAGTAGAAAAGAATGGTAGAGTCTTCTAGAAGAGCATTCTTAACCCTCCTGACATTCCTTTGGCAAGGAAATTTCTTGTGTCTTTCAGGCCCTGGTATACTTTTCCTTTTTCCAACAAAACCTGCCAGAATCTTGTTCCCTAGATCAGAGCGTGGGGAACATCCGGCCGGTGGGCCATATAAGCCTGTGAAATCATTTGGTCTGGCCTTGCCAAGGCAAACACAGGCAGGACTTGAAATTCAATCAATCTAGGAGATTTTTTCATAGCAACATAAATTTATATTAAGTGATGTTATAAATACCCAAATAGCCCTTGGCAGAAAAAAGGTTTCCACCCTGCCCTAGATGCTATATAGGACTGAGCTATTGCTGGCCTTGCTTCCATGTTCTCTCTCTGGGTGAGACTTCCTTCATCTTCTGGGCAGGTTACAAGGGTGGAGGGCCAGGTGGCCACAGCAGCTCCTAGGGTTCCTTGAGGCCCTAGTTGTGGGTTCGTGGGCTGTGTGGCCTGATGGGCTTGCAGTCCTAGCTGTGGAGGAAAGAGTTTGGCAAGGGTGGGTCCATGGAGTAGAGTGCTCAGTCTAGTGCAAGGACTGGAAACCCAAATGCCTCCATCACTGAGGGAGGGGGATGTAATGAGTGAGGATGGGCCTGGGCGCTACTCCAAATCAGTCTGTGATACCACATGAGGATGTGGACTTGGTGTGGCCAGATTGTCTAATGTTCAGCATGTCTAGATCGTCATGTAAAACCTGGTTTTCAAATGTTGGAAACTCATAAGAATATTCTTCAAAAATAGATTATGGACCAATACAAATACATAAAGAACTGTGTCCAGCCTGAAGGTTGTGAGTTCGAGATCTCTGGTTCCTGGTTAAGGGACAGGTCTTGCTAGATGACTCTCCGCCTCCCCCCCAGTGCTGAGTTCCCCATTTGAGCCTCAGAGAGCTGCTGTATGTCCCTTGCTGGAATTTGTCACAGCCTTCTCATTGTACTCCCCTTTGCATTGCCAGGCAAGTCTCATCATCTGACTGACTTGAAGACGCTACAGCTCAGGGATGGGAATAGCTAGGATAGGGGTACATAGCTCATTTAGGGCAGAAATAGGATTTGAACCTAGGATTTGCCCTTTAGTGCTCAGCACTGCGCCAGGTTACCCCTCTAAAGACGGTCTCATCACCTCTGTCTGTGGCCAAGTCTCTTGTTAAATGCGGTCAAGTCATTTCTGACCTATAGTGATCCAGTATAGGGTTTCAGGGGAGGGGCTGGTGAGCTTGAACTGCCGACCTCACAGTTCAAACTACTTCGATCGCATTAACCCACAGCATCAAGTATTCCCATGCCCAGATGAGGGGATGAAAGCTCGCTAAGCCATTTGTCTTAGGTCTCAATGGAGGGACCTGGCCTCTGAATATCTGCTCCCTGCTGCCCCAGTCCCCTGAAGGAGCCCTGGTAGTATAGTGTATTACAAACTGGGTTGCTAACCACAGGTTAGTAGTTTTAAAGTTCTAGTCCCTGTGAGGGAGAAAGATGTGGCTTTCTGCGCCCGTAAAGATTTATATCCTCAGAAACCCTACATAGGGTCTCTATGAGTCAGAACCAACCCTGTGGCACACAACCACCACCATCACTTCCCTAATCCCCTGAGGAGGGTCAATGCTGAGTACAGTGGACACTGGCCTAAGTCAAGCCTCTACCCCCAGCCCACTGGGACCCCCGTTTCTGTTGTCCCACTTGCAGTTTCTAAAGACCTGAGTCCCTGGCCTTAATGTCATGGCTGGGCCACAGAAATCACGCCCATACATGGGCTGCCAAGCCAGTGCTCTGAAAATGAGATGCTGGCAACCTCTGCACCTGGCTGGCTGTGGGAGAGTGACAAGCTCATCATCTCACTCATCTGTCTTGGGTTGGGAAGGGTGTGAAAATGTCACCAGGGCCTCTCTGGAATGCTGTTCCTTCCAGAACAGCAGGCTTTTCAGATGCCTGGGCTTCCCGACCACCTGACTGTGGGCCTGAGCTGACCCTTCACTGAGCCTTGGTCCTTGTGTGTAGAATGAGGCTGACAGCCACTCCCTAATTATTTTACTGTAAGAACAAATGTAAGGTACTAGTGGTGGGCCTGGCCTATGAAGGCTGTCAGTAGTTACCCTTCCCACACCCCATCCTCACTCAGTATACCCCACACTATCCTGGTCTGAGTCGCCCATCCCTTTCCTGAAGGACCAGCAGCTACAGCTTCCATTCCAGGCTTTCCCTTGTGGCCCAGAGCCCTGCTGCCTGGAATTTCCATAGTGTCTTAGTCATAGAGACGTATAGCTTTTCAGCTGGCTTATAGAGCACCCTTCAACGGCTGAGAGCTTAGCAATGGGTTCTCTCTCAGTGACATTTTGGTGAATGGCCCATAGTTCCCAATACACTGATACTTCCCAGGGATGAACTAGATGCAGACTTGGCTCTTTGAGGTACTCTTGTTTCATGGTTAAAAGACCAAGCAGGTAACTGGATACCTGCAGCCACCTTCAACAAGTGGGCTTGAATGATTGTGTTCTAGATGAGGCAGAGGCAGCCTTCTGACCTTGAACAGAGGCCGCTACCGAACATTCTTCTGCCATTGGGCTTCTCACCCAGCCTTGGGGCTGACTTGCCAAGAGGCTAAGGAGAGAGAGCTGGAGCAAGAGCAGCAAGGGCCAGGTTGCAGGCCACTGAAGAAAAAGCATGCTTGCTTGAGAATATTTGGCAGCCCAGAGAATGCTTGGCATGCTTTCTGCAAAGTGACAGGGTGCCCCAAGGTGAGACTCAAGAGGTCTTGGCAGGAGCTTACCCTGGAGGCTCTGATCTAGGTCAGTGGTTCTCATTGGTCTATGGTCCCTGGACCAGCAGCAGTAGCAGCATCTCCTGAAAACCAGCGAGAAATGCAAACTCTTGAGCCCCACCCCAGACCTCCTAAATCAGGAACCTTGGAAATGGACGTCAGCATTCTGTTGTAACAAATCCTCCATGTGATTCTGAGGATTGTTCAAGTTCAAGAGGCACTAATGTAACCCTGGAGTCCTGGTGTGGTGCTGTAGGATCAGCACTGAACCAAAACATCAGCTGTTTTCAAACACACCAGTTGCTCCTGGGAAGTCCTACACAGGATCGCTATGAGTTCAAACCCACCCGATGGCACTTAACAACAGTCTAACCCAAGGGAGCCCTAGTTGTGTCATAGGTTACGTGTTGAGCTAACTGCAAGGTTAGCAGTTTGAGTCCACCAGCTGCTCCTTGACACAAAGATGAGACTTTCTGTTCCCATAAAAATCTACAGACTTGGAAACCCTATAAAGGGTTGCTATGAGTCAGAACTGACTTGATGGCACACATTTACCACCAGTCTAACCCAAAAGTCCAGTGACTCTATAGGTTAACCACTGAACAGCTAACCACAAGGTCATCAGTTCAAGCCCACCAGCTGCTCTGCAGGAGACATAGAAGGCTTTCTGCTTCTGTGAATATTTACAGCCCCGTAAACCCTATCAGGGTCTCTGTGGCAGTAGGTAGTCTAACCCATGAGTAGCACTGTAGGATAAGCACTGGATTGCTGACAGTTCAAACCCACCAGCCGATCCATGAGAGAACAATGAGGCTCCTATAACTATTTACAAGCCTCAGAAACCCTATACAAGGTCTTAGTGAGTTGGAATTGACTCAATGATAATGGATTTGGGTTTTAGTTGAATATAACCCATGCTAAGGAGTTGGCGTGTCTCCTGAGCTCAGTGGGAAACTGCTGGAGGATTCAGGCAGGGGAAGGATGGAAGGAAACAGGCCATGTGGGAATGGGCAGCCTGGGCAGGAATATCAGATGAAACAGGTGGTGACTAGGACAGTGAGGGCAGTGGCAGAGGGGACTGAAGGCAGTGATGGTAAACACCAGGACTTGGTGGTTGGAATGACTAATGGGCTATTTACTGAGATAAAGGACCCATCATAGGTGTGAGGTTGAGATGCGTGAGGGTCATTTGTATAGAAGGTAATGTGATTGGTGCCAATGTCAGTGCTTGGCACATAGTAGGCACCAGACCCTATAATGAGATCTGCATGACCTCTGGAGTCATATAATCTCTTTGAGCCAAGTTTCCTCTTTTGTCAATCTGCTTTGTAGGAAGATGTTGAGGATTACTTGTATCCAGCCCTCAGGCTTTGAGTGCCTTGGGGACACACACTTCTCTGTGTCCTGCATTGGGAGCTGCCATCCGTAGAGATGATGTCTTCAGGGTACCTCCAAGTCCTTTACACAGATTAGCTTAATCTGTACTGTAAAAGTAGATGCAAACACTAGGGGGTTTACTTCATCCCTCATTGCTGGGTCCCCGTGAGTGCGTGGCCTGTGAACATGACAAAAGAGATACAGTCAAAAACACACCAGTGAATCAAGAGGGCATCGTAAAAAAAGGTCACAAAGTCCTCAAGAAGATAAGGAAAAAGAAACACAGAAAACAAGTAATAAATGGCAGACATACAGATGATTCCATCTGAAGGGCAGACTTAAGGGGCTGGGCAAATGGTATTTGCAGGTAACAGCCTGGAGGGGTGTGGGCAAGGGGAGTAACTGTGAACCTGAGGTTGCTGGGCATGGTGTGAATCTGCAAGGTTCCCAGACAAGACACAGAGTAAACGGGAACCATTTTTGGGGGTGGGGGTGGGGGGGTTATGAAATTTGGCCTGACTAGGTAAAGCATTTTGAATAGTCACTTGATGCTTCTCTATCTGTTGAACATTTATTATGGGTAAGATGAGAAGATGCTTAGCAACTCCTGGGGGATAGACATAGGGGAAGAGGCAGGACTCCCTACAGACTGGATGTAGTTCCAGCTGAAGTGGCCATGGTTAGCATCACATCCTGGCTTAAGGGTGATGGAGCCACATTGGGGTCACATAGCCCACTCAGTTGTGAGGCCTAAGCAAGAGACTTCCTCTTTCTGACCCATAGTTTCCACATCTATAAAACACAGCAAAGGACTCCTGCCTCCTGGGGGTGGGAAAAGATGGGGGAAGTGGTGGCAGTGGTAGTATCAGTGGATCTTAGATGTGGCTTGTTGTAGTCTGGCTTAATGCCCAGCCTACTGAGCTAGACATTCTCAAGGCTCAGTCCTTATCCTTTGTTCCATCTCTCCTTTACCTTGAAGTCCTTGCCACCCTTGAGCTATTTCACAGCAGCTAAGGGCTGGTAGCCAGGCACACAAAGGATTTGGCAGGAAGGAACAGGGACACTATGAGCTAGACAGTCTGCCCTGTGCCCTATTACCACCACAAGTGCCCACTTGTCAAGTAGGGAAAAGCCTTTTGATTCAGGCTTGTGGATTCAGACTCAGGCTCCAATCTTATTAGTTCCTCATCTTATTAGCTGTATGACCTAGGGCAAGAGATTTCGCTCTCTGAACCTGTTTCCTCATCTATTAAAGGGATCCCCCCAAGTGACCAGGAGCTGTTGGAAATCACATTAAGATTCTACTTGGAAAGCGTCTAGAACCAGGCCCAACACACATGAGATGGTCCTTCCTTGACAGATAGCTATTTCTAATTCAGCTAAATCCCATCATCTCCAAGCCTAGAAGTACCTTTTCTGACTTAGAACTGTTCCTGCCCTGCAAGCCAAAGAACCCTCCTAGTTAGTGCCAGCGTCCTCAGAGCATTCCTGAAAATTCCTGAGGGCTCAGGAAAAGGAGAACAACAGATTTAATTAACTCCTAGTGACTGGCAGCATCGTGTTTTTATCTGGGCTGCGTCGCCATGGCAGCCTCATGGTGGGGTTGTTGAGGGGGCGGGCAGAGCTATTGTTCCTGCCATTGTCTGTTCTGGAACGCAGGCCCAGGGGAAAGGGACTGGCACCAGCACCAAGTGGCACATGGCTGGAAGCAGCCATGGAGTCAGACAGGAGCCATCTGGGGAAAAGGAGAGGCAGCGTGTCCTGGCTTCTCTCCAGCTTCTTGACCAATCTGAAATGATTTAAATAGTCTTGAGCCTTCATCTTGGGACTCAGGCCCACTGTGGACCTCTGTGTGCCTTGAGCATCCTAAGCGGAGCATAGGAGGATTTGTGGAATTCTTCCTTGAAGCCCCAAAGTCCTTCAGGCAGCAGTTTCCTTACCATGCCAAGGCTGGTTTTGCCATTTGCCTTCTATACGACTAATTTCAAACCCACATTCTCATCTTGATGGCACACATCTACCACCAGTCTAACCCAAAAGTCCAGTGACTCTATAGATTAACCACTGGACAGCTAACCACAAGGTCATCAGTTCAAGCCCACCAGCTGCTCTGCAGGAGACAGAGAAGGCTTTCTGCTTCTTTGAATATTTACAGCCCCATAAACCCTATCAGGGTCACTGTGGCAGTAGGTAGTCTAACCCATGAGTAGCACTGTAGGATAAGCACTGGATTGCTGACCACAAGGTTAGCAGTTCAAACCCACCAGCCTGGAACTGGCGGGGAAAGCACGGCAAGGGAATGGAGTTGGAACTGCAATCTGAAAGACAGGGACGCTAGTAAAAAGAATGCGATACTAGGCAGACAAAGGCAGGGTCTGTGACACGCTGAAGCAGTTGAAATCCTGACATAAAGCTAAGAAAACCAGGAGGCTTGTGCGGGACAGGGTGGCGGTGGGTATAAGTTCAAAGAAGCTGTCGGCTGTTGAACTGTAGCTGAGGGCCTGGTGGGCTGCTTGTAGAGCTCTCGGAGGTAGGCCACCCTTTTCCTGCCCCGGACTTTTTGGTGCCTTAGGGGGTCTCTGAAACCCTTTCCAAGCTGGGGGCACCCTGTGCCGAGGCCACGCGGGTGGAGAATCTCCCGTGTGCGATCCGAGCCCGTCTGGCCTCACGCGCCCCCTGCTGGCAGCTCTCGTGTCCCCTCGACAATCGGCTCAGCGGAGGTGGCGGCCCAGTCTCAAATGGGGGAAACCCTACCAGGGAAGCCTCTTTAGAGTGATGTCAGCCTCCTCGGTGACATCACTGGGCCCACGGGGAGTGCGGGAGTTCCCGCAAGGAGGCTTCCCCGGGACTGCGCAGGGCGCGGGTGCGGGCAGGGAAGTCGCCGGGGGCCGCTGTGCGCCTTCATCGAATCCTGTGTCTACCCACAGGTCCCGCGCGGCCCTGGGTGAGGCAGTCCGCGTGCCCGCCGGCGCCATGGGAAGGAGCGGGCGCCGCTGCTGCCCCTCGCCGGCGCGCGCACGACTTGAGCCCGGCCACGGGCAGCCGCCGGCCACGGACCCCCAAATGACGTTGGCGGCATCTGGGAGCGTGGCACGGACCCGGGGCCACGCAGAGGAGCACAGTGTCCAGTGAAGCATCCGAAGACCCATCGCCCTAGCCGCCGCCATGGTTATGTCCCAGGGCACCTATACGTTCCTCACGTGCTTTGCCGGCTTCTGGCTAATTTGGGGGCTCATCGTTCTGCTCTGCTGCTTCTGCAGCTTTCTGCGCCGCCGCCTCAAACGGCGTCAGGAGGAGCGACTGCGTGAGCAGAACCTGCGCGCCCTAGAGCTGGAGCCCCTCGAGCTGGAGGGCAGCCTGGCCGGGAGTCCTCCGGGCCTGGCACCACCTCCACCACCGCACCGTGGCCGCCTGGAGGCGCCGGCACATGCACACCCACACGTGCACGTGCACTCGTTACTGCACCATGGACCCGGGCAGCCGCACGCCCACGCGCACCCACATCACCATGCGCTTCCGCACCCGCCGCCACCGCACCTCTCAGTGCCGCCGCGGCCCTGGAGCTACCCGCGCCAAAGTGAGTATGATCTCCAGTCTCCGCCAGGGGGCACTCCAGGCCATTTCGGTGGGTGGGTGGGGCTCGGCAGGGAGTAAGTTCTCAGGGTACCCGCGGTAATTCAGTCGCTTAGCCTCCCTCGCAACTCAGGAGGGAGGAGCGGGCTTCTTCTAGGTGGTCCTGGTCCCGGGGTTGGCGGCTGGCCAACGTGTCTGCGGGAGCCTTGGGAACGACTGGCCTCATTCCCCAACCGATTCCTATTCCGCAGCCGAATCCGACATGTCTAAGCCACCGTGCTACGAAGAGGCGGTGCTAATGGCCGAGCCGCCACCGCCCTACAGCGAGGTGCTCACAGACACTCGCGGCCTCTACCGAAAGATCGTTACTCCCTTTCTGAGCCGCCGCGACAGCGCGGAGAAACAGGAGCAGCCACCACCCAGTTACAAGCCTCTCTTCCTAGACCGGGGCTACACTTCAGCGCTGCACTTGCCCAGCGCTCCTCGGCCGGCGCCGCCCTGCCCTGCACTCTGCCTGCAGGCTGACCGCGGCCGCCGGGTATTCCCCAGCTGGACCGACTCGGAGCTCAGCAGCCGCGAGCCCCTGGAGCATGGAGCTTGGCGCCTGCCGGTCTCCATCCCCTTGTTCGGGAGGACTACAGCCGTTTAGCGGGGCGCCCGGCGTCCCAGCCCCACCCGCAGACTCCTGGCCCAACTGCGGGGCTTTTTAAATGCTTCCCTTGGACTGGGGTGGGGTGGGGTGGGTTGGGGTGGGGGGGCGGGATTTCTTACCCTGTTTGTTACATTTTGAGGATAATAAAGGTGTGTGATCTGCTTTGGTACAAGCGGAGGGGATGGCCACTGCTTGAACCCAAGGTTCAGCCAGAGGGCTAGTGGTTAGGTGTGCTGGGACCATGGGGGACAAGGGACATTAACAGGCATTCTGGATACAAACTAGATTGGGGGGGCACAAGAGCCAGATCTAATGGTCAGCCTTCTTAAGGACTAGGATGGTTCTTGGGAGACCTAGACCCTACATGAGCTCTCTAATTTTAAAGTTGTCGCTCCCTCTGCCCTTTAGTGTTGGGAGGAGCGGGGGTGGAGTTCGGACAGGCAGCCCATCTCATCAGCCTCTAGAGGCTCGGAGCAGCAGGCCCAAAGGGATCTGGATTTCTTTATTAACAGACATGAGCACGACCCGTTACAGAAGTTTGTGCTTTCCAAAAACAGTTACTGAAAGTGAAAAAGGAACCCAAGCAAAGAGGGAGGTGTAAGGGAGGGACCACCCAAGCCCCAGCCCCCTCCTCCCCATAGCCCTGACCTGAATGGATCCGAGGGCCTCCAGCCTGGGACCTGCCCAGCAGGAGGGAGCAGGAGAGGGTGGGGAAGCTGAGGGGCCCCAGCTGGGCCTGCTACTTCCTTTGGGCTAGGCAGGGAGGGATCAAAAGAAGGGCAGGGAGGGGGTCCCAGGGAGCCAGAGCCCACGAGCCATTTATTGCCATGTTTTAAAATTCGTGCAAAATATCTGAAGCCCTGGACAGAGAATACAAAGTGATATTTTTCCAAGAAACATAAAACTAGGAAAAGAGGTGGGGGGGACATGTTCCCATCAGAGCTCCCCCACACCAGGCCCCAAGCAAGGGGAGACCTCCACCCCGGCCAGCTGAGCAGGGAGGACTAAGCTACAATCTGGACCCGGCAAGGGAGAGGGTGGACTCTGCAACAGCATCTCAACTACCAACGGGAGGAAAATCAGTCAACTGTACAAGTCTCCTATCCACTTTAAAAAAAAAAAAAAAAGAGAAAAGCTGTCAAAATTGGGCCCTGTGGGTGGGGGAATGGCCGAGTCAGGGCCAGAGCCTGAATCCGAAGTGGGTGCCAGGCAGAGCTGCTGCGAGTGCAGGCAGGCATGGCACACAGCGGGCAGTCTGGCCAGAGGCCTGGAAATGGGTGGCCTTGCGAGGGCAGCCTTAGGGCGGACGCACCACTAATCTCCACCTTCGAAGCCCTCCTCCTCTTCTGGTACTGGATCTGCGTCCCAGCAGGTGATATCAATTTCTAGGGTGTCATCAAAGAGGAGGGGTGTTAAGACAAGATGGGCAGCTCAGTAGATCCAGGACTGTGTTCCTTGACTGTGGTCAAACCCATACCCTCAACCGTTTTACCTCCCATCCCAAGAATTACCTGGAGGTTTGTTGTAGAGCACAGGAGGTGGAGCCTTCGCACACAGCTCTTCTGATTGGGCAAACTCCTCCTCCTGTGATTGGCTGAAGTAACCCTCACTGGCCTACAGGAGGAAAAAGTACCAGGTCGCTGGGCCCCGCCCTACAGGACTAGAGCTGACCTACCAGGCCTAAGCCCCGTTTCCCCAGCAACCAAGATTCCCTCAGTGGTTGCCTGGGAAACAGATACCTGTCTAGCGAAAGCACCCAGTTGGCTGGGGAGAGGGAGGGGGAGTGGAATGGAACTTCACCCCAAGAATGTAGGTCAGAGAGATGAGAGGTGCTGCTGCAACCCTGAGAAAAGCAGCTTGAATGAACCCTGACTACCACCCCTGCCCCCAGGCCACATCTGCCCCCACCTGGGTCCCTTCCTTCTGGGTAGTCTCGCCATTGGTCAACACATGGGGCTCCGGCTCGGGTTCCTGATCTAGGTCCTCTAGAGCGGAGGGCACTGTTGGGGCCTTGGGGGCAGCCAGGGGCTCCCCTTCTACTTCCTCTGGATCGCAGAAGGTGGCTGGTGGCTCAGGCAACTCATCAAAATTGAGAAGGTTGGCACAGCTTTCACCTACTGGTGGCAGGGGCTCCTGAGCCACCTGGTCCAGCAGGGCCACCTCCGCCAGAGTGACCTCAGCACCTGAGGGTGGAGTGGGGGCCCTGGGCTTGGCCTCTGGCTCCCAGGCCTGGGGTGTGGTGGCCCCTTCCCCATTGCCAGGCCATAGGTCAATGAGGCTGGCAGCAGCGGGGGTGGCAACGGTGGTGTCCACAGCGGCAGTGTTGGTTTCGAAGGTGTCAGCTGTGTCAGCGACGGAGTTGGCAACTGAAGCAGGCTCCAGAGGGGCAGCTAGGACAGCCTGGTCTGGAGACTCTATGAACATCAAGTCCTCCGTGAGGCCGCCCTGCCCCCGGGGGGGCTCCCTTGCCAGAAGGGATTCCTCCACAGGGCTGGCCCAGGCCTGCGGAATAGCTGCTTGGTCCTCCTGGCTGGCCTTTTCACTCTCTGGCTGGGGGCTGGGCTCCTGGGTCTCTGTGACTTCACAGGTCAAGGAGAGAGCTATGATTCACACCCTTGGGGAAGGGATAGAGACCTCATCCTACCCTCCCCACCCCTGAGGAATGAGGGAGTCTGCTCCAGTTCTCAGAGAACTGTTCCAGGCTGTCTCTACCCAACCCAGCACCCAGCCAGAGGAAGGTCTGATCTTCCTTCAGAGTCAAGGCCCTGCAGCTCAGAGGGGTCAGGTCTGACTGCAACACCATGACTGCCCCCAGCCATAGCAATCTCCAAGGCAGTGTGCAGTCTTGGTGATTGATGGGTGGCCAGCTCCCTATCACCATGATAACCTGGGTTCCCAGCCAAGTAGGGGCCCTCACTCACCTGAGGCTGGTGGTAATGGTGGTGGCAATGGTGGAGGCTGTGTGGAAGTGACTTCATCCAAAGCCCGCTCAATCTGCTCAGCAACTGGTGTGGAAGCTGCGCTGGAGTCGGATGGGCTCCGGGCAGGGATTGGGGTGGGAGCCATCCTCCGATGGCTGTCCAGGTGGCTGCCTGCAGAACAAAGCCCCAGGCTGGTCAGCGAGGGCCGGGGAGCTACGTGGGACCAGGACTGTTCACCTTGGGGACTGGCCAGCACCTCTCTGGAGTCTGTTGAAGACTGTGAGCTCCCCAGAACCCCCAGGGGCCAGACCACAGCTCCAGACCCTGTAAGCCAAGCCCCTGAGGGCCAGGGGAAAGAGGCAGGCAGTACCTGCTCTAGGAACAAACTTGAGATCAGCAGTCAGGCTGGGGTGGGGGAGTGAGGGCAGGGGGGGCTGCTGGGAAGCGGGGCCCTCCTTACCCCCCGCTGAGGCCTGAGGCTGCTACCTACATGGGAGGGAGGAAGAGAGGTTTGGGGTGCGGTGACAGGTGATATAGGGAAAGGGAGTCCGTGGAGGGGAAGAGGAGGAAGAGGAGGAGGAGGAAGGCCCACTGTCCGATGCCTTTATGAAAGGGCAGTACGGACGACCTGCCGAGAGAGACAGACAGAGAAAGAGACAGAGGACAAGAGAGGGTCAGTCTCCCCCACCCTGTGCAGAGGCCTCACCCACCCCCATTGCTGGTCCTGGATGTCCAAGCTGCCCAAATCCAGAACACACATTCAACCAAGCTGGGCCACAGCCACAAGCATTAGCTAACTCCCACCAGCATCAACCACACAGCCAGGAGCCTGCCACACACAGCCAGCCTGAGTAGCTGGGGACAATCTGCTTACAGCCCTCCCGCAGTCCACCTCTCCCCCCCTCCAATGGCCAACAGCAGAGAGCTCACACACAGCAGCAGGTGCCAACACAATGGGACCAACAGACAGGGTGGGGAAGGATGCTGGAGCAGGAGGCAGAAAGCTGTGTAGGGAGAAGCTGAACAGGGAGCCCCGGTGCAGGCCCCGGGCTGCTCTGGCTCAGGGTCAGGGCCAGAGCCCAGCCCACATGCACCCACCAGCCCTCCAGGCCACTCCCTGCTGCCTTCTATGTGGCTAGTGAGATGCCTTAGCCCACACCAGAGCTGCCACTTGGCACTACCCCAAGAGCCAAGGCCCAACATCAACTTGCTCAGAGCCTGTCTCAGAGCCCTGGCTTGCAAGTGGTGGGTAGAAGCATATTTGATGAGCCTCCTCGCCTTCTCCAAGGGGTCTTTGGGCAAGGCTTCCTTTCTAAGAAACAGTCCCAAAAAAGGCTCAGGGTGCAATCCTGAGGAGTGGGGGCTGGTTCAGGGACTGGGGTTACCTGGTCGGTGGTTGAAGGGCGAGAGCACATCGCAGCTGCCTGAGGAGGCTGACGCGACTCGTTCTTGCTGTTTGAAGAACTCACGAGGGTTGTCAGGTCGCTGGGCAATGATGGCGGCTGCCTCCTGAGGACACAAGGCCTGGGTCAGGGCTTGGCTAGACTGAAGCCTCACTGTTCACCTCACCGCTCTGTCCCCCCAGCTCTTACCTCCACCTCTGATTCGGACTTCTTCATCTGGGTCTCTTCTTCCTCATCCCGCTGGTCACCCTAGAATCCAAAGGGACAATGTTCTGGGCACCCCATACCCACAGGGGTCTTCTTACAACTCCCATGACAAGAAGGGTCTTAGTGGTGGCACCTCAGGTCCCTGCACCACCCAGTTACACAGCCTCCCTTCACTCTCACTGGCTGGGCCTTGGACACCCAGATCGCTGAGCATCTCCTGTGATCCGCAGCCACCCAGACCCCGAGGGCCATCCAGCTCTCCCTCCCGTGTCTACTTTCTCAGACTCTCACCCCAATGTCTGCCCACTATCCTTCCACCAGTACAGCACCCTCTGTGCCTCCCTGTTTTCCTCATCTAGAGGCCCACTCAGGTCAGACTGTCATTTCTCCTCCCGAGCTTCCCATGAGCCACAGCAAGCATTGCTGACTGAAGATGCCCACAGATGGCATTTGTTTGGCTGCTGTAGTGTTTTTTAAAAACACTAATTAGTTACCACCACTTCAAAATCAGGAAGTTTCCTACTGAAATCTGGATCTGGAGCTATACTGAAATGCCAGCAGCTTTGGCAACACAGGTCCACTCTCTCCCAGAGCAGCTGTTGGCCAGAGCCATGCAGCAACGGTTCCTTGCCTGGACGGCTGCAGTCTACCTTCCTGCTTTACTATTCCTGCCTGGTCACTGTGTCCTGAGACTGCAATCTTCCAGGTGGTTAGGACCCCTTCCCTTCTCCAAACTCACCCCTACCCATGCCATGAGATATAGACCAAGTCTTCAGCCACGAACCAGTAAGTTTTTGGCAATATGCACGTTTCCCACCTCTGTGCCTTGGTAGGGGAGATGGGTCTCTCTCACCAAATGCCAATCCCAGCCCCAGGACTGACTTCTCCCACTTCTAGTCCCAACCTGGACATTGTCTCCTCAGGGAAAAGGTCCCTGGCAGAGTCACGTCACTCTCTTCTCTAGTTCCCCGTAGGATTACCCTGGTGTGCACCACAAATTATACTGTATCGCAATTTCCTGTTTTTGAGGTAGTCTCCATCACACCCAGGACCCGGAGTCAGTCTTTATGTGAATGGCTAGCACAAGGATGGAGTTGGTTCACATCTGCCCAATTGAACTCCCTCTACCAAGAGCCTCTTTAATGGTACCTCCTGCTTATGAGGCAAATCAGGCAAAAGAGACTGGTGGAAGGAAAGGGAAAAAAGCTCTAGATCAAGAAGTGAAGCAGGGTTGCTTTGTTGTGAACATAGAACCTAGAACTTAAACATGGTCAAGGTGCATAAAGAGGGCGGTCCTTCAAAGATCACCCCCTCAAGTGGGTTGTCACTCTAATAAGTTTGTGTGTCCTACAGAATGACATCTAAATGCCTTCCCTAAACCCATTATCCCTTCCAATTGACTTGCTCCTACTCCTCAGCCCACTGAGCTCCCGGCAGGTTGGGCTCCTTGCTTTCCCATGAACAAATGACTAAGCCTTTGCTTGTGTTCTGCCCTAGCCTAGTGTGACCTCACTAGAATGGTTCTTCTGTCTAATTAAAAAATAAGGACCACATGCAGCTTGTCACAAAGGCTTTCACCACCAACAGTGCAAATTACACCACAACAAATCAGAGCTGTGAGAACTTAAGCATCTTCTTCAGATACATGGGAGCTCCCTGGCAGCCCAGGAAAAGAGGGAACCAAGATCAGGAATATAAATCTTATTATAAGGTGAGAGATAAGACCAAACAGCCCTTTAAGCTAGAGAAAGCATTCAAGGTGTTCAATTCCAAAGTTTCTCCTATGGGACCTTCCTTATGAGGCCTGAAGTTACAGGACCACCACACTGACCTGCTTGCATATATACTGTCATTGTCACATGAGTCACACATGAAAGACCAGAAAAATGACAGTTACATAATGACACAAGCTACTTAAGGTTCTAGCAGCAATGCTGATAATGGATGAAAATAAGTGATCAGTTCAGGGGATTCACTATATGAGTCTCTCTCCATATGAGTGTACATGTGTGTGTGAGTGAGTGTGTGTGTAAGCCATCTTCAGCCAAATGTTCCATAAAAATAAGCTTTTCCAAAAAGACCTTGTCCATCTTGTTCTCATGGTACTTTAGCACCCAGCAAATAGCAGGCACCGGGGTGTGTTGAATGAATGACTGAGGCAACAGTTGACCAACTGAACATCAGCTCCACCCCACCAGGCAGTTGATGTGATTAATGCCACCTGTGATAGCTCTTGGTGTCCTGGTATGGCGCTGCAGGATAATGCATTGGACCAAACTACCAGCTGTGTCTCTGAAACCCTATACAGGGTGGTTATGAGTTGGAACTAACTTGATGGTACTTAACAACACCACGATAACTCTTAACAATGCCAGTGCATTTAGAGCTGTCCTCTCTGGGTGTAACCTTGGAGTTCCCATGAGTCCCCAGGGTACAACATCTGGAGATCATAATCTCAATCGAGGCCTCCCTTCTGGAATGGCCTGAGTTATGTCTGCAATGCAAAATTCAGTTCAAAGTACAGAGATGTGACCCCGCTGTGATTTCCAAACTATGAATCCTCAGGTCCTATGGGTCATTCCCAATGTTCAGTGATTCAGCAGCACCCCCGGAACAAGGGGACACACAGCAATCGAGATGCTCAAAAGCACAGGTGCAGTTCATTCATTCATATGACTCTGCACATTCTTGTGTGGGGACCAAGCCTCGAGCTCTCTTTGTGCAGGGACAAAGTCTGATTTACCTTGAACCCCACAGGCATCACTGGGGAGGGGCCAGCAGTGTCTGGGCAGGGAGTGCCTGGGTTATAGGGACATTTTTATTTCAAACCTAGCATATGAAAGAACTTTCAAATGGTCTTAAAAGAATTATAATTAAAAGATAATGGAATTTTATAACAACAGAGAGGGAAGGAGTCTTCACAGGAAGGAGCAAGCCTGTCCCCTTGGTATACAGGGTTGACTGTTGTTAAGTGACATCGAGTCGATTCTGACCCATAGCACCCTGTATGGGATTTCCAAGGAATAGCTGGTGAGCTTGAACCACCAACTTTGTAGTTCAAATGACTTTGCAGTCTGACGCATTAGCCCACAGTGCCACACCAGGACAAGACAGGGTTGATAAGGACAGGCAAATTAGACACTGGCTACCTAAAATGGGGTGTGTGTGTGTGTGCTATAAGGCACGAAGTGGCTGGCTTACAAGTTTTCAAGAGTGAGTTTAGTTTCAGTGTGTGCGGGGGAAGGCAGAACCCCCACTGAATAGTTTTCATCTTGTCTGGATGGGTCTGGTGAAAGGAGATGGGGATAGGATTCTTTTGATTCAGTAGTAATTGTTATCATGACTAACTGTGATTGTCACAAATGTAAAGGTAGAAGTTGTATAACATAAAGGGAGGAGTAGTTATTTCTACATTTCAGGAACAGAGGACCCTAGGGCCATCAAGAGAGAAGAGCATGAGTGGAATGTGGGACCCTAAGCAGAAAAGCAGTGACACCAGAGATGGAGGCAGAAATGATGACATGGAGAGAAAGAGCTGCTGAGGACTCTAGACGCATGGAAAGAGAAAGGCTGTGTGCTGGTGGCCAAGAGGCAGGAATGCAGAATGTTTTTGTGTACATCAAAAAAACAAAACAAATTAAAAAAACCCAGAGGGAATAGAAGCAATTACTGTTGAATGATGATGCATGGAGGGGATTGTAATCATTGCAATGAAACAAAATATGATAGGGTGAGTGCAAAACAGATGTTCTCCCATGTAAACTATCACTCAACTCACAATAAAAGCTTTAAAAAATTAAAAAGAAAAAGATATGTAACTTTCCCATAAACTTTTTGAAGCCCCCTCTTTTAAGTTTCTCAAAGAAGGTCTGTATTCATAGCCAGAAACTAGAGCCCCACATGATTAGGTGATAGGCCTGACTCTCCAAAGTGCCCCCAGGCCAGTGCAGGGGTCTTCAGAGCACTTAGCATTGTCCTCAAGCCCCGATCTCTCCATAGGCACAGGGAGCAGCAACACTGCCTGACCAGGAACCTGGGAGCCCTGGCTCAGAACTTACAAAGATCGACTGCTCCTTCAACCGCCTCTTGGCCTCTTCTGCTTCTAGAGTCTGCTGTTTCCTCCTGGAATGAGAAGCCGGCAGGTTTGATCAGGGCAGGCCCTCGAGGCACCAGGGCCAGGTTGCTGGGGTGGGTGGGACTGCACCTGTGCTCCTCAATCTGCTGCTCCCGCTCCCGGTAGCGCCGCTCCCGCTCCTCCTGCTCCTGCCGCTCCTGCTCCATCCTCTCCTGCTCAAACCTGAGCCTCTCATCCAGGGCCTTCTTCCTCTCCTCCTCCTTCCTCAGCTCCTCCTCCTTCTGCAACCCCCACGCCGAGGAAGTGCAGGCCCTGAGCTGGGGGGCCTGACCCTCCATACCATCCCAAACCCAGGGCCCAGGGTATTACTGGTTCTGGGAATTCTGGGGATGGGCCTGATGTGCACAAGACCAAAAGGGCTCTCTCTTTAAGATGGGATAGCAGCATGTGGGTCAAATGAAGGGTCCCCGGGAGAGAAACCAGAGTGACTTCTGGGGAAGGGCAGCTCAACCTGAAGGCTGAGATGGGGATCCACACCTTGGCCTGCTCCCAAAACTGCTCACGGTTAATCCGCTTCATTTCCACAGCTGCGTCCGTTTTCTGATAGGTGGTGCCCTGTGGGGTACAAGCATGGAAAGTAGGCTGGGAGCTCTGGAAACCCCCATGAACAAGGACATTATGAGGGACAAGGAAGGGGCTAAACACAAGCCCAGGGCAGGGCCAGCCACACTGACCACGGGTTCAGTGTTCTCATCCTCCCTTAGCCGAAGGCGATGCAGCACTGGGCTGGAAAGCCGGGCCAGCCCGTTGGATAGCCGCTGTCCAATGGCACCTGCGTCTATGTCTTCCACACTGCTGGCATTCACGATTACGTCGACACCCTTTGGCAAGAAGGCAGTGTTCAAGCAGCATTGTGGTCCCCATCACCACCCCTACATTCAGACCCCCACCCTGGATGGCTCTCCCTGTCTCCATGGGGCCTGGTCCTACACGCACCTGGAAGAATTCGGCCACTTTAGCCACATGGCTGGCACAAGCGCACTTGCGGGCATCAGGCACGTCTTCGCCAACCTGCAAGATATCCAGCAAAGTTAGGGTGAGGAGAGGGGGTAGCAGGCTGAGGTCCCTGGGCTACCCCCACCCCAGGGCCAGTAGGAGTTGCTCCCATGGTGTCAGTGGGGGTGGGGAGGGGGAAGGGTGACTTCGTACCCAGTTGATGAGCACGTATTTTGGCAGAGCAGCCTGTGAGTCCTTGACACTGCAGAAGCCATACATCACCTTCTGGTTCTCGAAGTGACCTGACAGCTCCTGCAAGCCCCCTTCTGGGGGAGTCAGGAGGGTGTCAAGACTTCTGAATCCTAAACCTTTACCTGTGCCCCCCACCCACCCTCTATCCCCATGAAGGGCCTAGGCCCTACAAGAGAGAATTCTCCAGGGCTCTGTAGGCCCCAAGGGTTTTCTGCTTCCAAGATGTGGAGATCCCACAGCTTTGTGTGGATGTGAGGGGGTGGCAGGCCGGGTCTAACTTTGTCTGTGAACCCCTTGCAGCCTACTTTGAGGGTATGACTAAAAAATATTTGCTCTCTCCAGCCTACTTCATACATCATCCGTCCTCACATATCACATTGTATCAATGCTGCTGCCCAACCCCAAGGGTGTAAAATGAAGCCTTCAGGCTCTAGAGAAAGTGGGGCTCATATGGGTCCATCCCTGGTAGGTCCCTTTTGCTGTGTGGCTTGGGGCATGTCACTTTCCCTCTCTGAACGAGTTCCAGTATTCTCCTTAAGTCAGTCCATCAGGAAAACAAGACTCCCCTCCCTTCCCACCCTCTGAGGAAGGATGACAGAGATGACCAGAAAAAGGGCACCCGCTAGAGAAATGTGGGGCTGCTGGATGCAGTCAGGAAGGTGGCTCAGAGCCAGGCGGGTGGGGAAGAAAACAACCAGAGGAGGGGGTGGAGAAGAAGGCAAAGGAATGGCTGGAATTCTTACCTCCTGACGCTGCAAGCTTGAGGTCATCTGAGCCATCCTCATAAGTGTACAGAGCCCTGGGGAGAGGGAGGGGTGGCTGGAAGAAGTTTCAGGACCCAGGCGCCAATTTTGGGTGGAGATGGCTCTGGGGAGGTGTTAGGGGAGGGGAATGGAAGGGCCAGGACAGAAGGGGGTTCCAGATCAGCTCTGGCAGTGTCATCATGACAACAGGGCTGGGCACCACTTCTGGTTGGAGCCCAGCAGGGGGCAGACTGTGAGTTCCATGGAGGAAGGCCTGAGTTAGATGGGGAATAGAAGATAGGGGCAGAAATCACTGCCATTGCTTCCTGGGGCTCAGTGCCTCCTCCGATCCAGTAGGTCCCAGCCCTGGCCCTGGCTGCCTTCCACAGAGCAGAGTGAGTGTGAGATGGAGCTTCCAAGGCGACGGTTCCTTTGTTACCTTGGTTACCGTTCCCTGGCTACAGCGCTCCTGAGCCCCTATTGGCCAATATCAGGAGCCTACCTGGTGCGTGCCTTGGTACCCACTGCCCTCCCCCTGCAGGGAGAGAAGGGGGAGGAGAGAACCTGGTGCTCTAAGGGCTCTGGGCATCCCCTGGTAACCATGGCAACCTGGCAATTGGCACACTAGCGGCCCACCCCAGCGCATTCTCCTCAAACACAAAGGACCCTGGGGACCAGCCCACAACCTCAATCTCCTCCTCTCAGAAATGGGGATGAGATCACTGCCACAGCTCCTGCCCAGACTCTGGCCCTGGGGTGGCTGGACTCTCTCGGCTTTCCAACACTGAGGCCTGCCTCCACCCCAGCCGAGGTCCTGGCTTCCTGGGACTGCCGGCCCTTCCACTCTATTCTCTATTCGCCAGAAAGCTGACCCAGCATTTGTGCTCCACCCTCCTCCTCCAAGCTTTTGCTGCCCTGGCTTGTTCTCCCCAGGTGGCCAGGGCAGCGTATTCATTTCACACAGGAGAACACAGAGATGCCTCCCATCTGCTCACAGTGGAAAGAAAGGCCTAGGGCAAGGAAGAAGGAAGGGTCTCATACTTATAGGTCAGAGGGTTAGGACCCTTCCCAATCCCATCCCTTACTACTGAGGCAGGAGGTGGGAGTGAGGAAAAGAGCTTGAAGTTCCAGGGAGATGAAAAAGAGAGAAGGAAGAGAGACAGAGGGAGAAATAGAAAGAAAAGGATGAAGAGAGTAAGATAAGAGAAAGGGGAGACATGAAAGATGAAAAAGAAATGAAGAGGAAGGGCGGGCCTGATTTGTTGTTGACAGGGTCAAATGGTTCCTCAGTGTCTCCCTTACCCCGGCTTCCTGTTCTTCCCTCCTGAAAGGGACACAGGTGGGGTTGAGTTCCTGGTCCAACTGTTGCACCCGCCTGATCCCTGGCAGCTGCTTCCCAACACAGCTGTCCCACCACCTGTCCTGTGCCCTGACCCTCCACTGGGAACAAAGGGTAGCAGAGAAGCAGGATCTGCCCCTCTTCATCCCACAGATGAGAAACAGAGGTAGAACCCAAGGATCCTGGTTCCCAGATATTACTCTAAATAATCCTACCTCCAGGAGAGGTAGTTTCCAGTCCTGTTCAAAGCTCTTGCTCTTCCCAGGAAAACCTGCCCTGTCTCAGGAGCCTCCATCCTCCACCCTACAACTTTCCCCATTCACATACCTTGTCCTGCTACAGCTATATCTTTCCCATCTGAATCCACACCTACGTTCAAACCCTTCCCCAGCCCTCCATCCCAGCCTCCAGTCCATACTATATGCTTGGATCATGCTGGGTGGCTCACTGTATCTCCCACTTCCCCAGCCTTTGCACAAAGGGGTCCTTCACGTGAAAGACCAGACCAGCTTCCCCACCCCACCCATCTTTTGAAAACACTTCAGAGCCTCAATGGCAGCTCCCAAGAAATCTTGCTCTAAGTTGGATTCTCCCAAGTTCTTCCCATATGTCACTAGGGATTCAGAGCATCTGTACCTGCCCCAGAACCCACAATTACATCAGATACATCCAGAGGGGGTAAGGGGGTGGGCCCTGGAATCAGAGTCTACAAGGAGGCACTTCTCAGTCGATAAGTTTCATGGGGTAGGATTTCTGAATATTGATCAACACAGACTGCTTTGGGTCCCAGGGCCAAGCACCAAGCAGCACCAGTAGGTAGTGGTAACCACCTAGGCCAGAGAACATGGACAAGGGTGAGGAGTAAGCTAGGATGGGCTGCTCTGGGGAAATCCTGGGGTCAACTGGAGCTGCAGCATTGAAGCCAGTCACACAGGAAGAATGTTCAAACTGGAAAGGTCTCTGGTTTCTGAGATAAGGTTGAGTCCAATCCTTTCTTTTGCTTTCACAGGTGAACAGAGGACAGGACTTTGAATGTGGTCAGAGTCAGGACAATACTGTCTTTCTCACCACACAACCTGACCTCCTTGCCCCCTGTTCCTAAGCCAGGCCAGGGCTCTGTGATCCTACCACACACCACTCAGAAGCCAGGTGAAGACGGGCAGTGCCAACTTGCTTTGCCCAGGCAAGTTTTACCCAGACATCCCTTTCCCGGTGTCTTATGTGCAAGTCTGCCCTGAGTCTTAAGGATTCACTGTACCCTGATTCTGTGGTTGAGAGGGAGGGGGTGGGAAGACACTCTTGCCCTTTACCCCACACACAAGATACAGCCCTCATACTTTTTTTTGCAAAATTTTAGCTAGGCCTTTGGGAGTGAACAAATGTGCTTATGTGCGAGGGAGTGTGTGTGCATCTGTGTGTGTGTCCCACACACAACCCAGATTGGGGGGGGGGGGTGACGCACGCCAGCAATGAATAACTTGCTGTGGCCACATGGGCGCTGTTGAGTGGTGGGAGCTAGAGACCTCTGCTAAGCAAGATGTGGGGCAGTAGTGGTTGTGTGGCCCCCCAGCACCAATTACTAGAGCTCTGCTTGCTTGTGGGGGGTTAGGGGAAAATGGGGTGGGTGGTGGTAGACAATGTTTCCCAGATTGGAAGGTGTGAGGGGTGTTCTGAGGTGGACTGTACCTGTCCCCAGACACAGGTTAACAGGCAGGGCCCATATCCTAAACTCTTCTACTAGGGCTAAGCAGGCCTCTGGGCCTGAACTACTCTGATGACCTCAGCTCCCCTAGGGCAGGGTTGGGACAATGGGTGGGTATCTCGCCTGTTTAATCTGTACTGGCCTCTCTTGTGACTGACCTGCGGGACTCGAGAGTGCTTGTGTCCCTCATCCATCCCTCTGGGCCTGGCTGCCCGCCAATGCTGCAGTGCCGTGGCACTGACGCCTGACCATCTCGTCCCTTCCTCCAGCCCCCCAGATCAGTGTCTCTCTCTAAATGCCCTCCCGGGTAAGGGTGAGGCCAGCCTAAATGGGGCCCTTGAAGCCTGCTCTCACTCTGTGCCTCAGTTTCCTTGGAGAGAAGTGCCTGCCTGTTTCCTGCCTGACAGCATGAATAGAGGGAGAAACAGAATGGGCACCTTGGTGCCCAAGGAAAAGTATTCTCAGGGGTCTGTTTCCTGGATGGATGGAGAAGTGAGGAATCCCTTGGCTTTTTTTTGCCACACTGGGGGCTCCAGCCCCAGAGCAGGTGGTCCATCTCCTCCCACCCCCTCAGGGACAGATAACAGCTGGGGAAGCGGGGAGCAGCAGCCCAGCCCCTCCCCCACTGGGAAACAGAGTGCTGCTTGCCAGGGGTAATAGGGATAGAGAGAACAACTGAATGGGGCCCAGTACTTTTACACTGGAGGCTTCCTCCCAGGAACCCCAGCTGTCCCCCTAGGTAGACAGCTCCTGTCCCCTTGGCACTCCCCAACCCTGCTGCCTAGCCCCGGCAATCCCTCCAGGTTGGAGAGGTGAGGGCTCACCCCTGTCTTCTTCGCGACTCGGGAGGAAAAAAGGACTCGCTGCGAGTTCCCTAAGTGGCAAAGAATGTCTTTCCATCACCTTGCAGCCTGAGGGGGGGTGGCGAACACGGAGAGGCCAACCGGTGGGCGGGGCGCCCCGGCCCCCAGCCCGCTCCGCTCTGCTCCTCCCCCGCCCAAGCTTTCCTTTGTGCTGTGGCCGGGCCAGGCTGGGCCGGGCAGGCTGCGCTGACTCCGCTAGCTTGGTCCCCGCCCCGTCCCCGCCCGGTCCTCGCCCGCTCGAAGGTGGAGAAGGTGCCCTTGGCCGCCCCGAGCACACCTGTCCCTCGGGCCCGGGGGGAGGGGAGGGAGAGGGGGATGGGCTCCCACAGGGCCATGAGGCCCCGGGCCACACATCTGGACCCTGAGTTCATCCGGCCTGTGTCCGGTCACTGTTCCCACCGCCAGACTGGGGCCACTCGGGGCGCTCGGGGCCCAGAAGTGCCCCGCCTGGCCCGCCCGGCCCCTCCCCCCGGCGCACAAAGGCAGCCCCTCCCTGGTCCTCCCGGCTCGTTGTTCCATTTCGGGGTCTCCCCCTCCCTTCCCGGTTGTCGGGCAGCAGGCCGGCGAGGAACAAAGGCTCGACGGCGGCGGCGGCGCGGGGACAAAGGGGCTGGGGGGCGGGGGCGGGGGGGGCTCACCAGTCGGCCGCGCTCTCCTCTCGAATCACCTCCTCGTACGCTGCCAGCAGCTCCAGGCGGTGGCCGCTGAAGCTGACGCCGGCCATGCTGCGGGCCGGACCGAAGCCGAACAGACAGACGCACAGAAGGATGGACCGATAGAGAAGGAGGAAAAGAAGGATTCGCCGCCGCCGCCTCAGAGCCTCTGCAGCGAAGCGAGCCGAGCGAGCCAGCGGCCGGGGGAGGGGAGCCGGCCGGCGGGGGGCGGGGGGCGCTGGCTCCGCCCGGTTAGGCTCCCTCCGCTCGCTCGGTCCTAGCGCCGCCCCGGCCCGCCCAGGGGGAGGCCCGCCCCCCCTTCCCGGCCTGCCCCGGGCGCCCCCACGCCCCCCACCTCGGCTGCACTAGGTTGCCCCTCCCCTGGCCCGCGGCTCGGAGCGCAATCCCGGGAGTGGTATCTGATCCTCCGCTACCCTCTCCCCAACCTGGGTGCACGCTCTTATCTCCGAACAGCTCCCTGCAGCTCCAGCATCTTACCCAACTAAGATTCCACTGCTAACCCCTTACCCAACTCCCAGTCCCAAATCCACGTTTCCAATACAGTTCCACTCTCTCTCCATTGCAGTGCTTAATGGATCTTCATCCCAGCCTCACCCCTATCCCTAGTCCATCCTAGTCAATTTTAAACCATTTCCATCTCAAACCTCAACCTAGTTGAAGTACTGGCCCCAACCTTGCCTTGTCTTCAGCCCCTCCCGACCTCTGAAAGGTCTATCCCCAGTCCATTTCCATCACTATGCACAACCATCTGCATTCCAACCACATTTCTGTCCTATCTCCAGCTTCAATCTCAATCCCTTGTTTAGCATACCCCTATCTCTATTCACCACATCCCATACCCAGCCTATCCTAGTCCCATCCTGAACCCATTTCCCATTTGCATGCCTCCATCCCTGCCTGTGTGATCATGTTTTCCCAAGCCAGTTCCAGCCCCAATCTCAGCTCATCAATTCCAGCATCCTCCACCCGGGTGCTATAAACTTCCACACCTCTTGTGCCTCTTCTGATGGTCCCAGTCAAGACATTTTTTACTTTCTCTCCCAGACCTCATGCTCCCAAAGGAATCCCAAATTGAGTTCCCGAAGCAGCATCTAATCCCAGATTCCCAGGGCAGGGCTTCTCCAAGATACTTCAGGGCCAGCCTCCTAGCACCTTAATTTCCCTAAGCTCTGAGCACAGAAGAGGCTGGGGACTCAGAGAAGTCCTTTTCAGGGAAGTAGCCACCACTACCAGGGCCCCTCCTGTTACTTCTCTGCTCTGTGTTAGGAGACCCTTAAAGCCCTCCACAGCTCCCAGAATCCTTTTCTACCACCTGAAAAACCTCCCAACTCCATATTTCTAGGGGATGATAATAGACCTGAGCAAACTTTATCTTCTAAAGCTGAGCGGACAAGGGCATAGACTGTTCGGATCTAAGAGGTGGAGGAGTTGGTGCCAGCTGGGCCTCAGAGTTGGGTAATTGGCCATGACATGTCACTGATAGAACAATATGTGTTCCACAGCACAAAGGAAAGCAGTGGTTCCTACCACTTGGGAGTAGGAGGAACTCTTTTCAAACTCAAAACATTTTATAGACCCTTGTGTATGGAACACTTGGTGTCCCCTGTGTCAGTGGGGCTCTGTCCCTGGTAGTTTCTGCATGGACCCTACTTGGAGTGAGGCCTAGGCAGAGTCAGATCCAGGCTCCGTGCCCTAGACCAAATGGCCTGTCGTGGAACACCAAGAAATTGAAATCGACAGGAATGGATGATGCTGGGTTGGGAAGGGAAGGAAAAAGGAGCCAGGAGAGGTGTGGACTTTCCCCATCATTAGGTGAGAAAAGGATGATTCTGGGAAATGAAGAGGAGACCCCGCAACAGGACCTAAAGGAGTGTCTAGGAGGGCTAGGCAAAGGGCACTTCCTCAGCCCCTTCCTGCTTACTTGGATTTGTTGTAGCTCAGCACTCTCGTGTACCCCTCTCTGGCTCCTTCCCCAGCCTCTTCCTCACTCCACATCCAAAAAACAGAAGCAAACCTGACTTGCACTCTCCTTTCCTCAAATTCTAGCCACTTGCAAACTCTCCAACCCACTCCCACTCTCCCTTCTTGCCATCTATTTTTTAAAATAAACTTTTGATTTTAGAAGAGTTCTAGATTCGCAGAAAAATTGCAGACAGTTCAGAGAGTTTGCCATATAACCCACACTGTTTTCCCTATTACTAACTTGTCATCTATTTTCAGGAGAACAAGGGGTTTCCTTGCTCCCCATTCCCTGGAGCCCACTCCTGGTCTTCTCACATTTCTCCCAGGCTCATGAATTTCATCCTATTATTTGCCCACTGTACCATTTTTCTTGGCACTGCTCTGGACAAGGTTGCTAAGTATTAGGGGGGAAAAAATGCCATGGAGTTGTATCTGACTCATGGCAAGACAACATGTGTCAGAGCAGAACTGTGGCTCATAGGATTGTCAATAGCTGTGATCTTTCAGAAATACATCATCAGGTCTTTCTTCCAAGGCACTTCTGGGTGGCTTTAAATCTCCAGTCTTCCATTAGTAGTTAAGTGTGTTAATCCTTTACACCACTGAAGGACTGACCAAGGCCACCAAACAACCAAAACCTACTGCCATCGAGTCATTTCTGACTTATGACCACCCCATAGTACAGAGTAGATCGGCCCCAGAAGGTTTCTGAGGCTGCAAATCTTTATAGGAGGCAAATGGCCTCATCTTTCTCCCTTAGAAAGACTAGTGGGTTCTAACCATCAACTATGGCAGTTTACAGACCACCACTTAACCCACTATGCCACCAGGGATCCTTTTCAAGATCACACCAAACCAAACCAAACTCGTTGTTGAGGCAATTTCAGCACGTAGCATCTTGTATAATGTCTCTGAGGTTGCACATTTTTACAGGAGCAGAAAGCCTCATCTTTCTCCTGAGGAGCAGCCGGTGGGTTTGAACTATTGACTTTCAGTTAGCAGTCAGTGCTTGAGTTCCTTTTTCATTAGCGACTCCAAAATCGCCAAATTCAGGACTCCTCATAGTTCTCCATTTCTTTGCCTGTGAGAACAGGGTCACCATTGATGGCTCTCTGCCAACCGGCCTCCCTTTCAGCCACTTGTTAAGTGCCATCAAACTGGCCACCCTAAAGTCCCCCAAAAGGCTTGATGGTGGGTGACTCTTGGAAGTTCTCCCATTAGACCTTCATTTCTGTCATCCCTTCAGTACTGACCATCCTTCCACTACCAAAGTGTGAGCTCCACCCCCACCCCGACTCACTAAGAAATTGATAGGATTGCTTCTGGGGGAGTGCTGAAGGAGAAAGAAGAAGGGGCAGGAAAGAGAGTGACTTTTTTCATGTTGGGATTTGCTGGTCATTTGCTGTGTGAACTTGAGTAAAGCACTTTCCTCTGAGTATATTTATTATAACATGTGAGGATAAAATGGGATTGGATGGAGGCTTCTTGTGGTGGTGGTGGTATGCCGTCCAGTAGGTTCCAATCATAGCAATCCTGTAGAGGGTTTCTGAGGAGTGATTGGTGGTTTGAACCACCAGCCTTATAGTTAGCACTTGTGTTTATCCTACAGCACCACACCAAGAAAGTAGGAACTCCCTCCCACTCTCCTCCCACCTCTGCCTTCCCCCTACCCCACTAAAACTCCTCACCTTTCCCAAGAAAGTTTTGTCTCAGAACCTTTTGTGCCAGCTAGTTGGGTGCTTCATTGTCCTCATTCTACTTCCCCAAACGCATCCTCGAAAGTGTTCCATTTTCAGTGTCATGCTTTACAGCACACACTGGGCACCTAGCCAGTCACTTTGACCACATTAGCTTAGCTTTTGACAAGTCTGTTAACAGTGTGACCTTAGACTAGTTTCTCGCCTTGCCTTGTCATCAACTGTAAAATGGGATGAAAACGGTGATATTTACTTCTTAGGGTCAGTTTGGGAAGTACTGGTATGACTTTGTAGGATAAGCACTGAACTGTTAACTGCAAGGTTGGCAGTTCAAACTCATAAGCTGCTCCTTGGAAACCTCATACAGTGTCACTATGAGTCAGAACTCAAAGACACTTAAAAACAACAACAGGATCAGTTTAAGGATTTAAAAAAAAATCTGGTGCTGGTGGTGGCAGTGTTAGTTGCTTGTGAGTCAGCTGTGACTCATGGGGACCCCGAGCACAAAAGAGTGAAATGTCCTGAGCCATCCTCACGGATGGGTGAATCCATTGTTGTTGCCACTGTGGATTTGGAGTGCCTTCAAGCACTATATCAGACAGCATTCTGTTGTGATCTATAGGTCTTCCATTGGCTACATTTTGGCTGTAGATTGCTGGGCCTCTGTTTCTAGTCTGTCTTAGTCTGGAAACTCTACTGAAACTTGTTCACCATGGGTGACTCTACTGGTATTTGAGATAATGATGATATAGCTTCCAGCAGTATGATAAGCCATTACAGTATGACAAACTGACAGAACAGACGGTGGTGGGATAAACATCTAAAGTGCCTAAAATGGTAACTAAGCATACCAAAACCAAATCCATTGCCACTGAGTCAATTCTGACTCCTAGCAATATTATTGAATAGAGCAGAGCTGCCCATAGTTTCTAAAGCTGTAAATCCTTATAAAAGCAGTCTGTTCTTTCTCCCATGGTGACTGGTGGGGGGTTCAAACTGCCAATCTTTTGGATGGCAGCCAAGTGCTTTAACCACTATACCACCAGGACTCCTTGACTATGTATAGGTGCTAAGTATATGCTGTTAGCTGTTGTTATTTTACTGATGAGAAAACTGAGGCGTTAGAGGGGCAGTGACCATCCCGAGTTACACAGTTAGTGAGTGACAAAATTTGGATGAAAACCCAGCTTTGTTCCATGTCACTTCAGCATAACACACACCATACCATAAGTCTACTTTTCAAGCACATCCATTTCCACATCCAGAAGCTGGGCTGGCCTGGGGTCAGCTTCAGAAGCAGTTCTTGAGGCTAGAGTTGTGGGGTCTGAGGGATGAATTGGGGGGGTGGGGGTTCCTGCACAAAGAAAGGAGCACTGGTAGAGTAGTTGTTACGAGTTGGGCTGCTGACCTCAATGTCAACAGTTAGAAACTACCAGCTGTTCCGTGGGATAAAGTTACAGCTTTCTGCTCCTGTAAAGATTTACAGCCTCGGAAACCCCGTACAGGGTCACTATGCATTGGAACCAACTCCATGGCACATAACCACCACCACCT